TTTTTTTTTTTTTTTTAGTTTTTTGAGACAAGGTCTCCCTATTAGCCCAGGGTGGCCTTGAACTCCATGATCCTCCTGCTTTAAGCTCCCAGAGTGCTGGGATTACAGGTGTGTGCCACCAAGCCCAGTGTCCCTGGGTCCTCTTTCTACTGCCCATATTAAAGCCAGTGGTTCATCTGGTGGGTTGTAAACCTCTAGTGGAGTAAGATAGTTTTGTTCCTTTTTTTGGGGTACTGGAGATGGGTCCTTGTGCTTGTGAGGCAGGTGGCAGAATCACTAAGCTAAATCCCTGGCCCTCCTTTTTTTTTTTTTTTGAGATAGAATCTTACTGTGTATCCTCTTGCCTCAGCCTCCTAAGTAGCTGAGACTACAGGTGCACACCACTGCACCTGACTTGTTAATATTCTTAATGAAATACAATAGAATAATACTATGAGCCAGGTGTGGTAGCGCACACTTGTGATCTTGGCACTCTGGAATCTGAGGCAGGAGGATTGCAAGTTCAAATCCAGCTCGGGTGACTTAGCAAGACCCTGTCTCAAATAAAAAATTAAATTAAAAAAGGACTGGGGATGTAGCTCAGTGGGAAGGCCCTGGGTTAAATCCCCTATACTACAAAGAAACAAATATTAGGAAGCTTGCCTGGTCATGAGTATAAGTATTACTTTTTGTAACATCTGGTGTATGTGTGGATGGGTTGCTGTATAAATGCCTTTCTTATGATGACAACTGATTGGTTTGAAGCTGTTGCACTGAGTGTTAGGGATTCTTAGGTCTGGTGTTGGTTCTGTCTTCTGTTATTGGGAGAGCTTGCCACATGCAAGGTTTTAAACATACTCAACATTTTGAGACCCTTGGCGTTTCTTTACCCAGACCTTTCCTTAGACTCCAGCTTGCACTTCAGGCTGCTCCTTTTGTCTCCTTTCCCTTTGTCCCCTATTCCAGGTGCACTACCCCTTCCTGTACCTTGAATGCACCAAACTTATTCCTCATCAGGTTGCTCACAGATCCTGTTCACCCTTGGGTCTCAGGTGATAGCCATCCCATCCCATGGCAGTGAGGGACTGTCTGTAGTTGCATTCATTCACTTACTGTCTTGTTTCTCCAAGATAGGCAGTCTTGTGTTTTGTTTCCTTGATGCTTGGCAAAGTGCTAGGTACACACTAGAAGTCAAAGTGAATCATTATCTCTTCTGAAGAACTAGGACCAGCTGTAGTTACACGGCCTTGGGCTGACCCAGGCGTGGTGTGAAGGTGTAGACTAAGCCATATCTGTCCAGCCCTCCCTCGGCCTTGTTCACCTGCTCTCAGTGGGGAGCTTTGGAGACTCTGTGATCACAAAGAAACTATCAGGAGTTGATCATCCTTCCCAGCCTGTCTTACTTGTGCCTTTGATATTCTCATTCATTTTCTAGGTCTCCAGATCCTACCCTTTACACGGCACCCCCTTTTCTTCCTAAATACTGAGCTGTAGTGCTGCATAAGAACAAAGTTTTATTTTCAGTGTTCACAGTGAGAAGAGAATCAAAAGTTAAGTCTCCATGTACCTTCTTGGCACTGTTTCTAGGTGTGAACTGACTGCTTTGGAGAGGAGTCTGGACAATTTATTGATCCAAGTCCCGAAGGGACAGTGCTGCCCCATGTAAATAAGTCAATTCCAGGAACTTTCTGAGTGGACATGATATGCAAAATGCTGAACTACTAAAGTAATAAAGCAGGGCTTAACCCTGTATATAAAACTTGAAATACCAAACATTAAAGGATATTTTAGGTTAGATATATGTAGGTGTTATATACAGTGCCCTCCTTAATGCTCTTCATCTTTAGTCATTCTGTCATATAGAAAATTGGAAAATTTGCTTAAATTCTTACAAAATTCAGGATACCTAGATGAAGTAAATGCTAAATCTACCCTTTGGAAATTGTGCGAGAGTGAGTTACAGTTTCACGAGAGATTCTACACATGGCAAAGAGCTGTGAAGAGACACAATAACATATTGCCTAGGAGCTGAGAGTGCCATACTCTTTTGCAGTCTGTATGGTTCAGGAGGAGCTGTAGTCTCCAGAGTGCTAGTGTGTGCTGCTCTCCAAAGCAGGGCACGTATGTGGAAGCAGAGGACACCTCATAATCCCTCTTAGTGAGCTTCCCTGCAATTTCCCATGTTGGGCTTGAAGGGAGCTGGGGCCAGCCTGGGCACCTGTGCTTGAGGCTCAGGTGAGTGGTGGGAAACATTTCATCAACTATATGGAGATAATAGGTATTGTCATTGTTTAAGTGTTTAAAAGAATAAAAACTGATCAAATACTGCTCTAAAATTCATTAACTCGATCAAATCAGTGCTATATGTATACTATCAAAAACACATAAGGGCTGGGGATTTAGCTTAGTGGTTCTGCTGCCTGCCTCGCAAGCGCAAGGACCAGAGTTCGATCCCCGGTACCAAAAAAAAACCAAGCACATAACACAAATTAGTAAATAAAGATTGAGCCTCGGAAAATAATGGTTACACCATACTTGTGGGGATTATACAAGATGATGATTAGACTGTAATTGGGGGGGATTACTGACAAATACACTTGCCCCTAAAAAATGTAAAAGTAACTGAATTGTTTTTTAGTCTAATGTCTGATATCCCTTGGAAGTAACTTCTGTTCTTACTAAATCTAGCATTCTGTCATTGCCTGATGAGTTCTCCTCATAGTTTCTTAGTTTTTTTTGATAAATGTGAGTGTTTTAAAAAGTGTTTTTCTGGGATCATATCCCCTACAGAACATTTCTTAACGAGAGGTGCATTAGGGTCATCTGGAATATGTTTCAGAACACACCTGTAGGTGCCTTTCCTTAAATCCATCAACTTAGAAACTCAGGGTTAGGACCCAGAAATGTCTTTTGTGAAAGGTCCTCAAGAGATTCGGGGTACTTGGTTGAGAATGACTCTTTTTTTTTTTTTTCCCCACTCCGTCACTTGAACACATGGAAACTCATAAGCTATAGTTTACTGTTTAAAGACAAAAGACTAAGAAAGGATTTTAAATTGAGGCAAAAGGATGAATTTTGAAGGCAAAATGATTTTAGATCTCACATTAGTTATTAGGACTGAACATACAACATAGGAGCTTCCTAGAGATTTTAGCAGGAATACAAACATTAGAGGGGGAAAGGTTGGAAGTAAAAGCTGAAATTAGAAACCTGGAATGTTCATGCCAGGGTACTTTGGACCAAAAAGCTGTAGGCCCCAGACCTAAATCAGTAGTCGTCAAACATACTGGACCCACAAACCAATTTAATAGACAGGTCTTTGGATCATTCACTTTCACCAATTACTCTCAATCAAAATGTAGATCAGCCACACCAGAATGGCTGGGATTGTGGTCTTTGGTAAGTGACCAAAGGTGAAACTCACATCGATTGTAAAAGAAGCAGTGCAAGCACCAATAGATAGTTGTTCTATTTTTGGAACCAGTTGACCTAAAATAAACTTAAATTTTAAATCTCATCCATGTAATGTAATGCTTGCAAGCATGGATCCTGCAGATTATAAGATGTGTAATTTTTGAGCCTCTTATTTCATTTTTACAGTGGGGTGATGGTAATACCCACATCAGAGTATCAGTGAGGACTGGAAGAAACTGCTTGTGGGAAAGTGCTTCTGATGCTTCAGTAAACACCTTGTTTGTTGCCTTCTTTTTTAGGGAGCTGAGGCCATGGTTCTGGAAAGTGTTATGTTTGCCATTCTTGCAGAAAGGTCACTTGGGCCAAAACTCTATGGCATCTTTCCTCAAGGCCGACTGGAGCAGTTCATCCCGGTAAGATGTGTGTGTGAACTGTCAGTTGACATGAGCCACAGATAGAAGGTGGGTTCCTTGTCTCATTTTGACAAAAACCTGAAATGCTGTGGTATGAAATAATAAATGTGACCTGTGTTATTAAACTGGATCAGAAATAAAAAGTTTTTTGACTACATACCAGAACCTCTTTCCTGTAAAGATACAGTCATCCATATTAAAAGTATATGTGAGATTTACTATTACATTGTCCCCTAAACCTTCCCCTTTTCACTTTATTGTCCACCTCCGGGGTTTTCTTTATAGAACCTGATGCTGGAGGGCTGACAGGGTCCTGACTCAGCAATAGAGCACTTGCCTGGCATGCATAAGGCTGTAGGTTTGGTCCCCAGCACCTACATAGCACAAAAACAACCCCCTTTACAAACAAAAATAATGCCACAAATTAAAATCATAAAATGGGCAGGGAGTATAACCCAGTGGTAGAACCCTTGCTTGGTACACATAAAGCCCTGGGTTTAGTTCCCAACACTGCCAAAGAAAACCAAACCCAAGTAAACATCATTGCTGTAGCATCTGAGCTCCAGCCACACTAGCCACATCTCTGGCTGCAGAGATCCATCTTCTGGATCTGTCATCCTCCCTTTGTTTCTGCTTTCCTACATTTTTAGGGTCTCTCCTGCTCCTGTCCCCCTGAGATCTCGTTCAAATCCTGTTTCCAGACAATAAGGATTTTTTTTTCCTCTTTCCTTGTTGGCCTGAGGCATTTTTTAAAATATTGCAGTAATCCTTGCCATGGTGCTTTGTCTTCAGGTATATGAGGAAATCCGAAACAGCCCTTGTCTCAGTTGTCAATAGGCAAAATACTATAGAAAGTATCATGCCATTTTTATGAAGCCTAATAAAAATAAAGATTTTGGTTTTTGTAGTGCTGGGGATGAACCCAGGGCCTCTCACATGCCAGGCAAATATTCTACCACTGAGCAACCCCTAAAAGCACGTTTAAAAATTATCTTAAAACACATACACGTAGTTGGGTGTGTTGACACTCCCAGCACTAAGGAGGCTGAAACAGGAAGATTGTGAGTTTGAGGCCAGTTTAGGCTACAGAGCAAGCAGGATCCTGTCTCAAAAAGAAGAGAAAAATCATGCATGTGTGCTGAAAGTTCTGTGTAATCAATTCTGTTCTAGTTCTTAAGTTCTGTGCCCTTTTGATAGATTGCTTACTGCACAGTGAAGAATTTTTAAATTCCATTAAAATACTGAGTTGAACCAACATTTAACTATTTTGACTCAAAACAGACAATTTCACTTGATTCCGCCTAATACGATACCATATTTCTGAGTTTCCTCTTGACCAGTTGCTGTCTTTCCAAGGGCGTGGGAGAACAAGTGACCTTTAAGAATGGTAAATAGGGGGCTGGGGATTTAGCTCAGTGGTTCCAGTGCCTGCCTTGCAAGTGCAAGGTCCCAAGTTCGATCCCTGGCACCAAAAAAATAAAATAAAACAAAAAAGAATGGTAAATAGTCTCCATTTCCCTTTCTCTGTGCTGGCAAAGGAGCTTGGCATCCTGAGATTTGTTCATTTTTCATGTTAGCTTAAATGTTTCACATTGTGAAACAAATAAGTCATGTGCTGCATAATATTTTTGTGAACATTGGGAACTGCATGTATGACAGTGATCCTGTAAAGTCATGATGGAGCTGCTGTCCAGCGGCATCATAGCCATTGTAACATCAGTACTGGGCTGTACTCACCCATTTGTAGTGGTGCTGACATAAATCTACTATGCCGCCAGTTGTAGAAGTATGGCACATACAGCTGTGTATAATACATAATACTTGATAATGTCTGCTGAGAGAAGCAGCACATATGGGAGCTGGAAGGGCCTCATTGACCACAGGCTTCTGAGAATGCACTGTGAAAGAGTCAGAACAAGTTTTGCCTGGGGCTGCATTGGGGCTGTGGTTGTCTCCTTGTCCAGTGTGGCCCTGTGCCAGGCTAGGTGCTGGGAACACTGAGGACTATTGAACATCATACCTTCCCTGCTGAGTGGCAGAGCAGGGCCTCTAGCTGAGGGAGGCGCTAGGGATTGAGCTGTGGTGCAGACAGGGCTGCTAGCTTGGGTCCAGTGGACAGACTGTAACTTTATAGAGGGTGGAATCATAGCTCATAGGAGAGGACTTTTTAGTTCATTAAAATTTAAAGACAACTTTCTCACGATTGAGAAGGATTTCAAATGCAGCCGACCCTGGGAGGAGGCCTGCTTTTTGCCAGGCAGTTGCTGAGTCACTGTTTGTGGAAACACTGTCAATTTTTTTTTTTTTTTTTGGTACTGGGGATTGAACTCAGGACCATGTGCTTGCGAGGCAGGCAGCAGCACCGCTGAGCTACATCTGCGGCCCAACACTGTCAATTTTTAGGGGAACTTTGTGCATTGCTAAGATTGACGTGCCCTACAGAAACTGGCTTCTTAGGATGGTGTGATCTCACACTTGCTAGGTTACCTGGTTAAATGTCCATTTTAAATTTTTTTAAATTTCAGAGCAGACGATTAGACACTGAAGAATTAAGTTTGCCAGACATTTCTGCAGAAATAGCTGAGAAAATGGCCACATTTCATGGTATGAAAATGCCGTTCAATAAGGAACCCAAATGGCTTTTTGGAACAATGGAAAAGTAAGTGGTCAGCGTGAGATGCCTGCAGGGCGGGGGAGGCCCTCCCCTGGTTCGCTGGTGGTTCTGGTGTTTACCTCCTGAATAAGTCTTTCTTGTGTAAATGCATGAAACAATCAGATTTTGGACCAAGAAGAAAGCCTTGTATGCAGAAATGGGGGTGGGGGCCCTCTTAGAGTGCTGTGGTTCCCAGCTGCTTCCCTTCCCTCCTGGAGAGAGGAGCATCCTTGTCCTGTGACTGTGCAGGTAGGTGTCAGGTGTGTAACTGAGGCCTCAGAATGCACCTTGGTGAACTGAGCAGTGGTCCTTTGCCCTCCCTTGTTTAAATAGATACCTAAATCAAGTGCTGAAAATTAAGTTTAATGAAGAATCCAGAGTTAAACGGCTCCAGAAGTTCCTCAGTTACAACCTGCCTTCTGAACTAGAGAAGCTGAGGTGAGTGTTTGCTTCTGTTTCTTGACTGAGTGGGCACATCTCTCCAGAGATGTAAATATCCTTAGTCACTAAAATCATCTGTAAACACTGAGTGAGCTTACCCAAAGCCTGGGACCTCACGCTGGTTTTGTGGGATGGTTAAAGAGGTGAGCTTTGTCATCTTGTATGTTCCATGTATGTTGTCACTTCACCTCTTGGTTTAGGAACATTGCACAGAGGAGGCAGGCTCTTAGAGGGGTTGTCTGGTGTGTAGGGCAAGACAGTTTATGGTGCATTAGCACAAGCTGGGGACTGAAAATGGATGAGATGTGGTGAATCCTAACCTTCGGGTAGCAGCATTTTGTGACTGATCTCTGAATGGAGGCCACTGTGGTGTCCTCAGGGTGTGGCTGAGGACAGGCTACTTGCATACGTATTGACCAGCACTTACACCTTCAGTTACTCGGGTATTTCAGTGTCTGCTGTGCTGGACAATGTGTTGATGTGAGCAAGACATTTTATTAGGACAGAAAACTGATATCAGATTGTGATACATGCTGTGAAGGGAACATAGATGAAAGCAGACCCACAAAGACAGATCTGCTTTAGATCTGTGGACAGAGAAGGGCTCTCTGATGAGGGAGCATGCAAGGTCAGGAAAGTAAGGGCCAGGATGGGTGCTCCAGAGAAGAACAGTGTGTACAAAGATCCTGCTGCAGGAAAGAACTTCAAGTACGGAGAGGCTTGTGTGGGTTTCTGCTTTGCACTGCAGCAGAGCTATTACCACATAATGACATGGTTTTCAGAAATCACATGAAAACTACACAAGGCTCTGTGTTGCATTGAAGCACTAATACAGTGCTGGTCATGCTGACAGTGGGACAGTTGCATCTGACTTTAAAGTGTGATAGCTACAAGTAAAACCTTTCTTCCTTTTTCAGATTATTGCTTGAATCTACTCTGTCTCCAGTTGTATTTTGTCATAATGACTGTCAAGAAGGTAAGAATTGCCACATGCTAAAGATGGGATTCAAGTGTATTTCCAAGTATGGGTGATAAATGCCAGACTCAAGAGTGTTAGATACATTGGATTATGATGCACCCAGTCAGCTATTGTGTAATTTTTGAAAAGAGTGAGATAAACTGGGTGCCTTGAGGCATGCTTAATCCTAGCTGCTTGGGTGGTGATGCAGGAGGGTCACAAATTCAAGCCCTCCCTGGTCAGTTTTGTGAGATGCCATCTCAAAAAAAATAAGGGCTGGTGGTGTACTTCAGTGGTAGAATACTTGCCTTACAGCTACACAGGGCCCTACATTCAATCTAGTATCACAAATTTTTTAAAAATGACACTTCTACATATATCGATAGAAAAATCTCCAGGATATGTTAACAGAAAAAAGGAAGTTTTAGAAAAACACATAGAGTATTATTCTGTTTCTACTAAAATAAAATAATTTACATGTGGAAAATCTGAGATAATGTTCACTAAACCAGGGAGTTGGGACAAAGGACTTAAACTTTCTAAGTCATATGTTACTAATTGTGTTTAGCTCCCTTCCTTAAGCAGAAGCAATAAAAGACCAAGATCAGCTCCCTTTGTCACAAGGGCCCTTCCCTTCTACACTGAGCAGCACAAGGGAGCTTAACCCACTTCCTCTGTTAACACCAGTGTGTATGCTGTTAATGATTCGGGGTTGCTCTGCTTTAGAAAATTATGCCGTATGTTCCTTACTGACACAAAATGTTACCCAGTATGGTTTCCAACTTGACAGTTTCATCAGAGTCCTCCCTAATTGTGCACCTCCTACTGAGGCCACCAACATTGGCTAGTCATGACAGCTATGATAGCTGTGGTCCCACCTCAGGCTCTTCTTGGCTGGGCTCAGCGTGTGTGTGTGTTTATGTGTTTATGTATTCCATTAAAATTTTTTTATTAGTACATGTTTGCCATATCTTATGATCATATTCATCATAGGGAATTTATTATTTTTATTTTTATTGATTGATTGATTGGTACCAGGGATCGAACTCGGGACCTTGCGCTTGTGAGGCAGACGCCGGAACCACTGAGCTAAATCCCAGGCCCTGGGAATTTACAATATATCTCAATTCTTTTTTCCCCATTCCCCTTGCCTCCCTTCAACCGTTCATCCTCTCCCCATTTACAAAAGCTTTGTTTCCATTCATTTGTCTTAATACCTTTTCCCTTTCTTGTCTCCCCCTCCTGCCTCCCCTGTTCCCCTTCCCATTTGAACGTGTTCTTCCTGCTTCCCAATATCTATCCTCCTTGTTTGGTTTTTGAGATAGTGTTTCACTGTGTTGCTCAGACTGCTCTTGAGCCAAAGTGTTCCTCCTGCCTCAGCCTTCCAAGTACCTGATATTACAGACATGTACCACTGTACTAGCTCTCTATTTCTGTTATATTTTTTGTTGAGGTGTATTGCCCTGGCTGGCTCCCAAACCCATGAGCCCAAGTGATCTTCCTATCTGACCAATTTGCTTTTAGTTCCAGAATAGTCCCTCATGAAGACTTGTCATCGATAAGCCCTTAGTTTAAGCCCAACTGCCTTACACAAATTAGCTGACTCTTGCAAAAATTGCTTTGGGTGTTAGCCATACCCTTACGGTAGTGATGGGATGATAAATAGCATAGACATCACCAGAGACAGATGAGAAAGAGGTCAGGTGCCTTAGTGGTGGCAAAATGTGGAAGGGACAGAGATGGGAGTTGTCCATTCATTTTGTTCTGCTGCTTTTGAGTATCTGTCTCTAGTTTTTTCATTGCTGTTGGAAACAGGAAAAATATGCTGCAAAGCCTAGAAACTTAACCTTCCATCAGAAACTCTGGGAAGGATAGAGCCAAACAGGCTCCCTCCCTGGTGCCCACCTGCCCACCCTATGGTGCCAAGATGCATCATAGTATGTGGGGATCTTAGGAACATGGGCCTGAAGTGCCAGGCTGCTGACCAATCCATCACATGCCCAGAATTCAGCAGTATGATGAAACATCATCATAGTGATGGTGCTGTGGCCTCCTTGGGAGGGAACACCAGACCAAGCAGAGCAGTGGGGCACTGTTACAGCTGAGCTTGGCCCTGGCATCCCCACCAGGGAGGACATCATGACAGCTTTCCTGCTGGTATACCCAGCTATCCCTGCTACCAGCTGAACCCCAAGGCTGCTGAAGGGAAGGGGCCAGTAAGGAGGGGTTTGAGAGCCAAGGAAGCTCCACTGTGCCCTTGTGCCCTGTGGGAAACATTTGGGAAGCACTCTTCATACAGTGAATGAGAGGTCAGGCATTGTTCCACAGTGAATTGGGGCTCCCAAGAGGACCAGGGCCATGGGCAGATGGGTTGGGAATCTCCCTGCCAGAGGCCAACCCCTGTGTACCACATCCCTGTTCTGGGCCCCTGGTATCTGTGGGACTGAATGCCAAAGTCAGACAAGGGCCCCAGCAGAGCCAGAGCCACTCTGGCTTTACCCTCTGAGGACTTGAGCCTTCTGTTGTAAAACATAGTCTTGTCACCCAAACTTTCTTTCAGGTAATGTCTTATTGCTGGAAGGCCAAGAGAATTCTGAAAAACAGAAACTGATGCTAATTGACTTTGAGTACAGCAGTTATAATTACAGGTAATATGTTATAGTCAAAGACTTACCTTTCAGTACTATTTTATTCCGATATATTTATGAAACAATTACAGGAGAAAAAAATAGTGAAAACAGTATGCTGTGTTGAAAGCATCCTCCCCTGGAAGAGAAGGCATCTGTCCAGGGAAGCCACAGCACAGGCCTCCTTTATTCCTAGCTGGCTGTGTAGTCAGGAGCCGCAGTGTCATTCACATCCAATATTGGCACTTTATTTGAGCTGTCAGAATCTCTTTCTTTCTTTCTTTCTTTCTTTCTTTCTTTCTTTCTTTCTTTCTGTACTGGGGATCGAACTCGGGACCTTGCGCTTGTGAGGCAGGCGGTGGAACCACTGAGCTAAATTCCCAGGCCCCAGAGTCCTTTTCTTTCCATAAGTACCGATTACGTGAGATACATTGCGCTTGAGAAGCAGTTTAGGTGGCCTCTTTATAGCTTCAGTCAGCTGTGATTCTGATAATCTCCTAATTGTGTCTCCCTGTCACCAAAGCTGCCACACCCCTGTGCACTCAGGAAGCCCAATGGTTCTGGCCTGACTTTTCTTCCTGGTCAGGGAGCTAGCAGGCCCTGTGTGCTAGCAGCCCCCACAGTGTTCTTCATGCTTTGTACTGTCTTTTCTCTTTCAGAGGATTTGACATTGGGAATCACTTCTGTGAATGGATGTATGATTATACCTATGAAAAGTACCCTTTCTTCAGAGCAAATAGTCAGAAGTATCCCACCAGGAAACAGCAGGTAGGAGATCAGTTTGTTTTTTTAATACTGGGGATTGAACTCAGGTCCTTGTGCTTGTGAGGCAGGTGTGGTGAGCTAAATTCCAGGCCCAGATTAGGTTTTTTTGTGGGTACTGGGGATTGAGCTTGGGTCCTTGTGCTTGTGCAGCAGGTGGTGAAACCACTGAGCTAAATCCCTGGCCCCCAGATTAGTTTTTAATAGACTTGACAAGTTAGTTCTATACACAGATCAATTTTAGCCAGACAGAATTACATGGGGGTTCTTTGTTTTTGCAGTACTGGGGATTGAACCTAGGGCTTTGTGCATGCTAGCCAACCACTTTACCTCTGAGCTATGCCCTCAGCTCTTTGCATGTGGGCTTGCTGAGGGCTAGAATTTGTACCTCCTCTCTTCTGGCCACATTTTAAAGCTGATTGAGATGAACTTGAACATGTTGAAAACAAGGCAGCCAGGATTCCAGGAGATGGTAGGGTGAGAAAAGGTGGGACTGCTCAGCCTGGGGAAAGGAGCATGGTCTCAGTCTTTGGGTGTTTAGTTTGTTGCATGTGGGAGAGAAATTAGACTTGCAAAGCAGGAATGCCAAAACAGAGGTCAGAACTGTCAGACTTGGAAGGGGAGACTGTTGGTCTGAGCACATTGCATTTCAGTGAAAGCTAGAGCTTTATAACCTCCTGCACAGCAACATGTAAATTTTTGGAACTTCCTTTCTCGTTATAGTTTCTGAAAAGTTCTAAAGATGAGTGTGGGGCTTTATCACATAACCTTACTGCATCTGTTGAAGTAATCTCATGTTTTTCTTTGGTCTCTTATGAAATATTTTTAAATGTTTAACCATTCTGGAGTTCTGAGATAAGCTGTGTTTGAATGGATTGTGTTATTTTGTAATGCTGTGTAGGCTACTGTTTTCCCTCCAAATTAAAGTGTAACTTTCCCAGTTTGCCAGCATAAATGTGTAAACAGTTAGAAAATCTCAGGGTGGGAAGGCACTTTGCCTTGTGTAGTCCAGCATCCACTAAGAAAATGCCTGCAGTGAACACCAGGCCTCCCCAGAGCTGCAACTGCATGTTTGTGGCAGCCCTGTGTGGAATGGTGGCCAGTGTGGCAAAAAGTTTGATGTCAACCAGCCCTGCTTTGAGATCAGACAGTGAAAAACATGTGTAGATTTGATTAGGAAAAAATGATCCTACCCAAGTCACATTCTCCAGAAGTACTGGTAATAGCAAGCATGCCACACCCAGACCAGTATGACTTCTACTGTGTGAACCAAGCTAGCAGGACACAGTGATTATCACTATGGGGAGCAGCCGGGCCTCGGCTCTTGCATATAACAGCCAGGATGTGTCACAGGTTTTCTCTGAGACTGAAGAGTAGTCTAGTCTCACAGAGGTGTGTTTTTTGTGGCAGCTATTGATAGTGTGCGCTTTAAACCATCATTGATCCTAACACAGTTACTTCTTTTTTAAGCTCCACTTCATTTCCAGTTACTTGGCAACATTCCAAAATGACTTTGGAAACCTCAGTAGTGAAGAAAAATCCACTATAGAGGAAGAAATGTTGCTTGAAGTCAATAGGTAACTTTTTTCCTTTTTCAGTTTACAAAGGTAACATACTGCTTTATGAACTATTTTGACTTTTTCCTCAACAGCTCTCAAAACAACCCTAAAACATCAGATTCTGCCACGTTCTAGGTCACAGTTTATTCGTGCTTCTCTTTAGTGGGTTGTTCTATTGTTGGGGTCGTTTGTGACACAGTTTGGGTACCTTTGAGCTGCCTTTTCTGCTCCCCCATCACGTCTTCTCTTCAAGGTCCTTAGAGTGTTTACTCATCTCGCTGAGCTGGCTGCCCCCAGCCTGCCCTTAAGCTTTAGTGGCACAGAGTCCCCCCCTCTTCTTTCTTGAATGGGTGGAAATAGAAAAACATAGTGGAAGAAAACCCACAGAAAGAACAATGCTAAGGGACTAGGTGGACCACAAGGGACCACGAGGACCTGGAGGAGGGCTGGCAAGGCTGCTAAAAGCAGAACTTTATCCCAGGACACTGTTTGAAGAGGAACTCGGACTCCTGGTGACAGGAGCTGGAGATAGTGGTGCACGTGCTCCTTTTTGGGTGAAGCGAGGATGGGATTTGAAAAGCCTGCCACTCAGGGAATGGCCTCCCTCCAAACTCCTCCAAAAGGGAGTGGGTTTTCAGGAGCTGCGACTTGGTTGCTGAGGGTGTGCATTCACACTTGCAAGAAAGATTGATTCTTTCTCTCCCAGCATGGCTACCGTGGACTCCACCCGTGTCCTGAGAATGTCATTGTGTGTGGCTTGCCATTGTGCTCACACCTGTAAGTCTACTTGCCCCTGGCCAGAGGTGGGAAGAGGTTGCTCCAGAGGAGACTTTGGAATTACAGTGGCCTGCCTGAAGTCACTGAATGTCTGTGGCTGACACTGTACAGCTCACATGTGTTTCTCATTTTGTAATTACAGGTTTGCCCTTGCTTCTCATTTCTTCTGGGGACTTTGGTCCATTGTACAGGCCAAGATTTCATCCATTGAATTTGGGTACATGGTATGTTGGTGACAGTTCTCTTCTACTTTCAAGAAAAGAGTACTATGATATATGTCAATGCTTAGCAGCAACTGACCATTCTTTATAGAGGGTTACCAGTTCACCAAGGTCAATGAGTGGTAATCTGGTTGCACCAGGACAGCTCTCACTGATCCTGTGGTTGCTTGTGGAAGTCCCCTCATTTTCAGGCCCCTCAGAGAAATGCTAGGTAGGTCTGCAGTCTGGGTGAGGCATGGAGAGATACGGATCCAGAAGGTCCAGTCTCTGAGCTTAGCCCTTTCTGATGTAAGGTGGTGCCTCCCAATGGTACACAGGGTACTTTACCACTGTTGACACCCTCTACCCCAGCCTGTAGTACCCAGTTTGGAGTTGGGGGCTAGTATTTATTGACTTCTGTGTTTTACAAGCACATTTGTAACCAAACTAGGCTGTCGTTTTATCCCTGTGTTAAAACCTGTCCTTGACATAAACATGATTTTTTTTTTTTTGGTACGGGGGATCGAACTCAGGGCCTTCCAGTTGCAAGGCAGGCGCAGTGCCACTGAGCTGAATCCCTGGCCCCATAAACACCATTTTTAACCTTAAATAAACTCATGTTGGGGGAAATGGGGACCCAGGTAAGGATAGGGGCATAACACAAAGGTCTATCATCCAGCCGCGTGTGGTGACACATGCCTGTGGTGGCATGTGCTTCTTGTCCCAGGTACTCAGGAGGCTGAGGTGGGAGGATCACTTGAGTCCAGGAGTTCTGGGCTGCAGTGTGCTATGCCAATCGGATGTCCATACTAAGTTTGGCATCAATATGGTGACCTCCCAGGAGCAGGGGACCAACCAGCTTGCCTAAGGAGGCATGAACTGGTCCAGGCTGGAAATGGAACAGGTCAAAGTTCTGTCGTCTAGTGAGTTCCTTTTCTTTAAGACATAGTGAGAAATTACTAGTTCATTTTATCCATCTCAGTCCTGTACTAAGATGATTTTAGTTCTAGGCAGGTTTGTTAATGCAAAGACACATTAGGCAAAGAAGAGGAAATTTGCGTGGTACTGGGGATTGGACCAGTATATTCCTCGCCCTGTCTGTCTCTCTGTCTGTCTGTCTATTTATATTTTGAGTAAGAGTCCTGCTGAGTCACAAAGTTGCCCAGACTGTGCTTGAACCTGAGATTTTCCAGCCTTTGCTTCCTAGAGTGCTGGGACACAGGCATGTGCCACCATGCCCAGCCTGGAAATTTAGATTTTTAAAGCAGATTTGAAGTCATAGTCAAATAATACTGTAAGACAAAGCAGACTTCAGAATAAGGGATATTATCAGAGATAAGTATATTTTATAATAAGGCATTGATTCATCAAGGACATAAAAGCCTAAGTGTGTATGTAACTATCTCGCTGCAAAGGGCATGGAACAAAATCCAGTGATACTGAAAGAAGAGATGGGCAAATGCACAATTAAAATAGGGGATCTCACCACTCCTCTAATGAACAGAGCAAAGAAACGCCACCCAGTGACAGTGACAGACAACTGGAACAACACTCGGTCAGCTGGACTTGAACATTTATCAAATTCCCAACAACTGCAAATAAAGTATAGCAGAATTGGTGGAGGTTTGGCTAAAACAGTGTTTAGAAATTTACAGCTTCATGGGCTGGGGATTTAGCTCAGTGGTTTCGCCGCCTGCTGCGCAAGTGCAAGGACCTGAGTTCGATCCCCGGTACCAAAAAAAAAAAAAAAAGAAACAGCTTCATAAAGTGGATGTTTATATTAGATTCACTCCCAGTACCACCAAAAAAAGAGTAAAGTTCTCAGACTTTCTCACATGACTAAGTTTCTGTCCTAAGGATCTAGTAAAAACAAATTAAGCTAAGCCCTAAATAAATAGAATGATCAAAACAAAAAGGGTAAGAGCAGAAATTGCAATAGAAAATGGAACAAAATCTAGAGAAAATTGATGAAACTAAAAGTTGGTCCTTTGAAAATAGCAGTAAAATTTATAAATTTCAAGCTGTACTGAACAAACAAAAAGAGAAGACACACTTTAGCAATATTGAATGTCAAAGAGAAGACCTCACTGTAGGCCCTATGGAGGATAGAGCATTAGGAACAACTTAATACATTTGGCAGCACACAAAGTGCACATTTCTTGGAAAGATGGAGATGACCAAAACTGACATAGAAATAGCATATATTAGTTAAGTAAACTGAATTCATAATAAAAAATCCTTCCTATAGAATAGACTCAGGTTCGATGGTTTCTTTGGTGACTATCATTAAAACATTTAAGAAGAAATACTAGTCATGCACAAACTTTAAGAGAGTAAAGGAGGATGGAACATTTCCCCTCATTTGATGAGGCCAGTATTGATACCAAGTGTAGACAAGGACATTTCAAGAAAATTTCACACCAGTGTGCTTGATGAATATTACATATAAATATATATACAAATTATATTATAAATATAAAATATATAAATATAAATAAAATATATTATACAAAAGGATAATGCATCATGATAAGTGGCATTTATCCCTGGAAGGCATGGTTAGTTGAAAAATCTGATTATTATTATTAACAGAGTGAAGATGAAGAATTACATGATCATCTCATTGAATTCAGGAATAAGCATGTGACAGAATTCAACACCTAATCATGATAAAGCATCTCTGCAAAACTAGGAAAGGAGGGGAACTTAACCAGATAGAGGGTATAGATAAGGAACTCTCCAGTAACATCAGAATTGTTGGTGAAGGGCTGCACACTCCTCCCTAACCCCACACCAGCAGGCCCTGACACTTGCTGTCTCCCTTCTCCTCTGTGCTGTGCTGAAGCTCCCAGCCAGCACATGGGGCACACGCAGAAGTAGAGGCAGACATGCTGAGGCAGAGGGGAAATGACTTTATTCTATGGATGACATAATCGTGTACATTTAGAAATATTGAGTCCAACAGAACTAGATATTTAATGAATTTGTTTACCAAGGTCACAGGACATAAGGCCTATATACAAAATCAGTTATGCCAACAATGTGTGAAAAAATGGTCAGTATCTCTTGCCATTAAAGAAATGCAAATTAAAACAATCCTACATCTTCCGTCATCTGTAGAGTGCTTATAATACTTTGTCATTACAATTGTAACACAATGCAAATAGTTGTTATACTCTAGAAGGTGACAAAGAAAACAGCCTACATGTCTGTATAGAGATAACTTTTTTTCCTAAATATTTTCAATCCATGGGTACAGAACCTGCAGAACCGCAGTCCCCACTGTCCCTCTCCTGGGTCAGGATCCCATGGAGCTGAACATGCATTTCCACACCAAGGCTCGTCCTCAAATGTTTATAGTAGCATTATTTTTAATAGTCCCAAGCTGGATCCAGCCTAAATGCCAGTCAGTGGGTGTACTCTTACATAAATAGGGTGTTGGATCCATATCCTGGGAAACTGCTGAGCAGTGGAAAGGAAGTCGCCCAACAATGCACATGCAGCATGGATGACTCTTAAACCTGCTGCACGGAAGGAGCCTGAGTACAGAGGTGCACGCTGTGTGCACGTGTGGTAGTCTAGAGAAGTCCGTCTAGCGACAGACAGGTTGGCAGCTGCCTGCGATAGGCGTAGGGGTGGAGGGCGTCTAGGGGATGCTAGGGACTTTCCTTGTCATGGCAAGTGCACCTGTGGAAACCTCACAGTGTACCTTTAAAATGGGTTGTGTTTGTGGGACAGAAACTATGCCTCCAAGTTAATTTCTCAAAAAATGATAGTGTAATTTAGTCAGATTCCTAATGACTATTTGGGGCAAGTTCTTACCGACTGTTACGCGGAATGCACAATAGCCTGTGCCCTGTGCCATGGTGGGGCTGCCAGTGATCTGGAGGCACTCTGTGGCTCACCTTTTGCTCTGTATTTGCTCTGGCCATGGACCTTTTGCTTTAAAAGAGGAACCATTGACAAGTGGGCATCAGTGCTGTGGGATTTTGGGTGAGCAAGCCCAGTAACAGTCCAGGTGCCAGATACAGAGACAGGAGTCCTTCCTGAGTTGGCTGCTTGGCCGGTAACTTTAAAATAAAGCTGCGAGGGACATTGCCAGGAGCTTGGATAAACCATGTCTTGAGAACAGCCCTATAGTAGTCTACCCTGTGCTCAGGGAGTCCTTGTACACGCAGTGCTGGGCTGGGTGTGTGGGCAGGGCCCAGGCCGCAAGAACCCTTGGTAAGCCCTTCTCTTTGCTGTCTCCCAGGAATACGCCCAAGCCAGGTTTGATGCCTATTTCGAGCAGAAGAGGAAGCTGGGGGTGTGACTGAGGAGGACTCCACCCTCTCCACCACTGGACTCCCTGGAGGCAGCCAGGCGGGGCCTCTGCTGCAACCACTACACCTGTGTGGGGAGGTCTTGGTGTCTCGCGCTGCACACAGATGTGTATGATATTGAGGACTGTATTAAAGTGGAGTAACATTTATTTCCTATCTTGTTTACAATCTCACTATGACTCTGAAATGAGATTGGGAGGCAGAAATATAGTACAGTAGTGCAATATCAGAACCTTTTTAATCTAGAGGAGGTGGTTTCTCTCTGGAGCCTAAGACATTCAGTCAGACATGGCCAGCAGCAGGAGTGACCAGTGTTACTGCGGATACTTTGGTTAATGTTGGTTTTTAAAAAATTCTTTCATTAACATGCCAGTGGACATTGTGACCAGGTTCTTTGTGGGCTATGTGTTGTAGACACTGCTTACTCCCAAGTGACACAAGACATACTGTGAAGTGGCTCTGTGGGCTGAGCTCCAGCTATGGCGTCTGCAGCGGCACCCAGCCCATGTCTCCAGGAGCCTCCAGGCTGAATGGCTGTTGGAGAAGCAGGTTGCCCATGTGCTGTCAGGAGCACTGTCCATGGATGGATGGATGGATGGACAGACGTGCCCTGTACCTGTCATACACATTTGGTACATAGATGACCTTCACCGTAACTGGATATACCTGACTCAGTGTGTGCTTCATCACTCGAGCTTTGGGCAGTGGGGGCCTCACTGGCTTCCTTCCCTCCATGTTCCCAGGGTGGAGCAGGCCGTAGGGCAGCTCCTTCACCCTTTCTCACTTCCCTTTATCTGGCCTGGAGTTTGGGATCCTGGGCCAGGCGTGGCTTCCCCAGGAGCCCTCAGATGCCTCCTCCTGCCCTTGGCCTTGGCTTTGCTAGTGGCCAGCATTCCCAGCCTCAGCCTCACTCCCTTCCCAATGTCCCTGATGTCCATCTGTGGGAGTCGGCAGCCCTTATGTGGGGTTTGGGGCCCCAACAGACTATAGCTGTGAAATCTATATATATTAAATGTTCAATGGGATAAGTTCTTAGCTTTTTTTTTTTACTCTGAAGCCTTTGAATTTTTTTGGTTTTTTGCATATATTTCTGCTACTACTACAGAGATTGTACTATACAAATAAAAAAATTAAGCCTCAACCTCAAGCTGTCATTCTTTAAGGTGTCCTAACCCTTCAGGGGGGGCTCCCATTACCTCCTGTGCCCATGGGAGGCCTCTGCCCAGGTGCATGTGGGCTGCTCAGCATCTGGATCTCATCGTCTTCCTCCTTGTGACACTTTAGTCTCCGGGCCACCACACTGGTTTCCCTCTGTCCTCAGGGTCTGCATTGGGCTCCTTCTCTGAGTCTTGAGGAGATCTTGCCGAGCACACTCGTCGGGATACTCTGCCACCCTCCAGACTTAACCTGACTATGGCGCTGTTTCCTCAGACCAAAGCACCCCGGAGGGATGTGGAGGAAATTGGAAACCATGACTGGCTGTCCCGAGGGGAAACTGAATGGTGAGCAGGGGCAGGAGGGAGACTTTGGTATTCACCTGTTTTTACACAGGTGACACTTAAGTTCTGACACAGCACAGTAACTGATGCCACTGCCCTTTGTGCAGTCTCTGCAGCTTCACATCCAGTAGAATGAAGACCCCTGCAGTCACTGACCTTGGCAGCCCCACCCATCCTTTGCCTGCTAACTCTGCTTCAGCCACTCCTGACACCTTGCTGGCTCACACACCATTTCTTGGCTGAGATGCGTTTGGGCCAGATCCCCAAATGACAGGGTATTTCAGTTGTCCTTGTCAACTCAAAAGTTTCCCCATACTGGGGCATGGTGGTAGAAACCTGTAATTCCAGCACCCTGAGAGGCTGAGGCAGGAGGATCACAAGTTTAGGAGAATTTAGCGATGAAGCCAGACCCTGTCTCAAAAAGGGCTGGGGATATAGCTCAGTGTGAAGGCCTTAGGTTCAGTCCTTATATAGCAAGGAAAAGAAAAGCATGGGAAAAAGTTGTTCCAGGGCTGGGGATTTAGCTCAGTGGTTCTGCTGCCTGCCTTGCAAGTATAAAGTTTGAGTTCGATCCCCAATACCAAAAAAAATTGTTCCACACATTTCTGAGCCCTTCCAATTAAGTTGGTGCCATTCCTTTGCTCTCCCTGTTGACCCCCACCCACCCTGGCCCATCACTCATGTTCTTCAGGCGGCTTAGCTTTTCCTGAAGTTCTGATTGGCTTGCTAAGTTGTCCCGTGGATAAGCAGAGATTGCATCTAGCCTGGTCTGTCACCAGCCACCACAGTCCAAACTGCAGATGATCCCTCAAAGGCACTGGCCCCAGTGGCTGGTTGTGTGCCATTTCCATGGCAACTGGACTCAACTGACATCTTCTGGGATCTCCCACGCAGCTCTGAGCATCTGTCTCCCCAAGGTCAGTCTAGGTCCATCCACAGCCTCCTGAGGCTTGTGCTTAGCTTCCTTGTTCCTAGCCAGGCAATGTTACTCATGTCTCTGACCTGAGTCTACCAGGCACAGAAACTGTTCAGAGCCCTGAATAGTCCCACCTGGCTTCCAGGGGTCCTCAGCAAGGCAGTCCAGGACCCAAGGGACAACCCCCTCCCAACAGCTGGCCAGAGCCACCACCAGAGGCCAGGCCACCTTGACTTGCTGTGCTCAGGGCAGCTCTGGCCTCAGAGTAGCCTTTGTTCCTGGGGCCTCTGGCTGGAAGAACCATTTTGCAGATTGTTGGCTGGAAAAGTCAAGGCCACCGAGAAGCATTGGCTCTTCTTCCCAGTCCATGGTGGTACTCAGGCCAGAGGGAAGAGGATAGCTTCCAGGCCAGCCACCACCCCAGGTGAGAGGCCATGGCCTCAGTATGGGAAGGCAGAGCCTGGAGTCACTTCAGCCCCTGCTCTGACCTCCAGGGCCCTGGGCAAGTCCTTGGCTGCTCTGGACAGTTCCTGCCATTCCCTGGAGATCTGGCTGCAGGTGGGTGACTCCTTGTTCCCACATACACCACCAGGTCAGGCTGGGTATTCCAGGCTGCTCCTCTTTGATGCTGGGTACATGACAATCACCACCCTCCCCCACAGTAGGCTAGATGTCCTTCTAGCCAGTTTGCATACCTCCAAGGGTGGAAAGCTCACTCCCCTGACAGGCTGGAGGGCTGTAGCTCACATGAAGCTAGAATATGCTGGAAACAGCCCTCATGTTGTGTGCCCTTTTCACCCCAAGAGCCTGGGGCATTGTGGAGGTGCTTCTGGGTCCTCACCCTGACTTGAGGCCCAGATCCTAGACTAGGGCTCCCCATCCCCTTCCCACTTTAGCCGGAAAGGGGTCAAAGTAGTACCTAAGGGAGCCCAGAACCCAGGGCCCTGCCCTTCTGACTTCAGCCCAGCCCTTGGTGTCCTAGAAAGGACCAGAATGCCATTACAAGTCTGCCTGCTCTTTATTCTTTTCCTGTCTTAGGGAGGTAAGGACACGTTGGGGCTGCTATTCATCCTCGGCAGCGAAGGTGAAGGGGCTCAGCTTGTAGCCAGTGCCCGAGTAGAACTTGTTCTGGAACTCCACCCTGGGGGCAAGAAGGGGAGGCTGGTGAGGGGCGCCCACCCAGCCCTTCCTCCCAGGCCAGTGGGGGATGCTCACCAGTGCAGCCGCAGTGCATGGAGGAAGGCTGAGAGCCCTTCCATCACCAGCAGGATGGCAACAGTCAACACGGCAAATGCAGCAAAGACAGGGACCATCATGACAGCCTGCACGCCCAGTTTTAGGCCTGCACTCAGGCCCATGCGCATCACCATGGCCCACAGGACCTCTGACAGCTCTGCGGTAAGAGGGCCAATGAGTCATGGGTAAGGAGGTGCCTGCCAGCCCCCTGACCCCAGGGCTGATACCCTCCCTGATTGTGGGGCCAGCAAGGCACCTTCTCAGATGACCTGATTTCACAGAGCAGACACTGAGGCCTAGAGAGACACCAGGCCCCCCAGCCAGCCACTGTGTAAATGAGCTGGAGCCAGAACCCAGGCCACCCCACTGGCCATATCAATCTGCTGGTCACTCACGGGCATGGGCCAGGCTCAGGGCCCAGAGGCGCAGGTAGGAGGCCGTGTTGGAGATGCAGCCAAGGCAGAATTCGATGGTGTGGATGGCCTGGTGCATGAAGACCTCAGAGGGGACAAGCTGCCAGGTGGGCAGGCAGGTGGCAGTGAGGAACAGAGGAGCCAGCTGGGCTAGTGGCCACCACAACCCTCAAGAAGGTGTCACACCCACCTCAGCTTCCTTTTTGTCCCCAGAGCACCCTGCCTTCTCCTCGTCAGGACCCCAGCCACTCTCAGAGGCATCAGTAATGTCTATAAGTTTGGCCTTGTCCTTGTCCTGGGGCCGAGGGTGGGATGGACAGTGTGAGTAATCCCCAGCCCCAGGAGGGGTCACGCTGCCCACCCAGCAGCCGGCTCACAGCTGCTCGAGCCTGACGGAAGTGAGGGTCAGGGATATACGGATGGCAGCCTGCCTCCCACATAGCCCTCTTGCCTTTACCTGTCCACCTGCAGGCCTTCTCTGCAGACGGTGGCTGCGCTGCTGGCGCAGCAGGTACAAAGGTGTGCCCAGCAGCAAGACAGGCACCGCGGCCAAGGCCAGGACCACCAGTGCATACTGTACCACTTCCTGTGGGTGAGAGGGCACATCAGGCCACAGTGCACACAGCAGGCACTTGGGCCAGAGAGCTGTAGGCCCTTCCCCCAGATGCCTGTCATTCCACAAGGACTCCTGAGCTGCCTCAGGCCACCAGGAACTACTGCATCACCCTGTCTACAGGGCCTCAGCCCCATGGTCCCATTTCCTAGATGAGGATCCTGCACCTCTGGGTGGCCCAGTGACACGGGGTCCCCATTAGGCGGTACACACCACCACCGGGCCAGCCCACCTGCCCATGGTAGAGCAGCCGGTTGGTGGGGCTACGGGAGAAGAGGAACATGTTGATGAAGTGGATGAGGATACTGGGGGCCAAGGCAGAGCCACCAGCCGAGATGCACAGCCACTTGTAGACGACCAGGAAGACGAGGTAGCCGAAGAGGCCCAGCAGGAAGATGAGCTCGGGCAACGTCTCCAGCAGCAGCCGGTGGCCCTGGCCAAAGTGCCTAGGGGGAGCAAGTGGGTCACAGGGCTACCCAGGCCCTGCCTGGCCTCACACTCCCACGGGCAGCTCTGTCCTCACACGTGGTTGAAGATTCCCAGGACCACCCCGAAGGCCATGTGGGTGACACCCAGGATGACAGACATCTTCATCTTGAAGGAATTGAGGAAGCTCAGGTGGTTGGTGGCCAGGCTCCAGATCTGGGGTGACAGGAGAGGGTGCCATGCTCAGGGGGTAGGGGGAGTCCTGCAGCCCAAGTCCCTCATCACCCCCAGCACCCTCTGCCACCTCCGCTGAGGGGCAACCAAGGGAGTGATGGCTGAGAGTTCAGAGCAGTCAGGCAGCCTGGGCTCAAGCCCCAGTTCTCCCCAGCTAGGTGACCTTGCCATGTGGCTTGGGCCTCAGTTTCCCCACCTGGACAATCAGATGATGGGCACTCATGAGGTCGTTACGTGGACCAAATATAAAATCACTCCACAGAAGGCTCAGCAGAGGCTGAGCTGCTACCAGTGCAGGCCTTTCTGTCCTCTCAGGTGACAGGGACAGGCACAGCAGGATGGGCTGTGTCCTGTGTATAATGCAGAGCCCGACATAGAGTGGGTGCTGGGGACAGCTGCTGAAGGAGGCATGAACAGATGGGGTGCAGGAGTCCCCACCTTGGCCCTCCCACCTGCCTACACCCTGTGAGCACTGGAGTGGCAGCACTCACCGGGTCGATGCCAAAGGGGTAGGGTCCCAGGAAGACGCCAGAGATATTAGGGTCCAAGGTGAGCAGTGGGTGCTGGGCCAGGTACGCATCACTGTGACAACAGTGGGTGGTGGTCAGGAAGCACAGGACCCGGGGTCACAGGGTGGGCCGGGGGCCATGGGCCTCACCTCCAGCCAGACTGGTTGGCCATGGTGGCCACGCTCCACCCCGAGGGGAAGATGGTAGTGGCTCGGCTGAAGCACTCGTTGTAGATGAAGCCGGTGTACACAGAGAACAGGCCCATGAGCAGGAGCAGATAGCGGCCCCCAAAGAA